TTTTTTTTCAATTCCACAAAAAAAATTCTATTCCAATGTCAGATATTGCTTAGTACAAAATTCCTTATTCGTTACGTTCATACATTAACTATAGAAGATCAATCATATAAACAAAAAAACAATAATCCATAATTGCGTTTGTCTACTCTTATGTAGGTCACAAAATCGAACAACCAATCATCTAACGTATAGACAGACACCCAAATAACACACGTAGTACCAGTGCCACAGTTATAAGGTCAGGGATAGCGAGCTGCATAGCTGACCGGTCTGTCATAATGCGTTACATATCTCTTTTCGCATATATTGTTCGGGCGAATGGATTAAACAAGCTTAGAATATAAGAGAGCAGCGACTTGTTTTGCTTGACTTTTTATGTATATTTTTTAAGTTTTTATTGAATTTCATGGTGTTTCATCATGATATTCAATTATTTTTGTGAAATTATTCCACTAGTTTTAAAAATAAATAAAAAAATAAATTATACATTCTCGGTAATTACATAGAATAATTAATTATTTATTAATTGTTTATTAATGGCTAATACTATAAATAATTTATATTATCCTTCTGTCTACTGTCAAAATTGTAGGGGGCTTCGTACCAAAACAATAGTATTTTATTGCAATTTGCTTACTAAGTCTTATGATATTATTGTGCTGACGGAAACGTGGCTAGCGGACGGAATTACGGACTCCGAACTATTTGATGGTAGGTATGTAGTATGGATAGAATCAGAAATAGTAACCGACATAGCTCGAAGAATTGCTCAGCTGAAGTGGCAGTGGGCGGGGCACATAGCTAGGCGAACCGATGGCCGTTGGGGCGGAAAGGTTCTTCAATGGCGGCCGCGCACCGGACGACGTTCAATGGGTAGGCCGACTCTGCCAATCTGGTGGAGGTCACGGGAAGACAATGGATGCGGGCAGCGCAGGACCGATCGTCGTGGAGATCGTTGGAGGAGGCCTATGCCCAGCAGTGGGCATCGTATGGCTGAATGATGATGATGTAGTATGGCGGCGTGACCGCGATTATACGTTGACTGGTGAGAATTGGCGCTGGGGTACTTATTGCTACCCGTAAGGAACTGGCTGTCACTCCTCAACCAACTTATCAATCCTCAGCGGAGGATTTATGGCTAACTTTGTGAATGAAATCCTCTAGTAATGACATTATTAATATGCACATATGTGCTTTGTATCTATGTAAACAAAAGAGGGGATAATTCTTTTTCTTTACAATTGCATAATTTCTTAAATAAACTAGGAGAGATTAGGCTTACTAACACTAACGATAAATTCTTAATTATCGGCGATTTTAATTTAAGTGGAATTTGTTGGTCATTAAACCATAGTTTTTATACATCGTCTAATTATTCTTCTAGCGATGAGTGCATATTGGCAGATGAATTAAATTTACATAACCTAAACCAATACAACGGTGTAAGGAACAAAGATAATAAGATTTTGGACCTTGTACTATGTAATGACACATTAATAGTCTCAGAATGCGTAGATACAAAGCATTGATTATTTCTATACAATTTATTACAGTTACCAGTTTAAAGTCAGCTCCAACTATTAAATATTTTTATAATAAAGCCAACTATGATTTAATAAATGCCGAACTATCAACAATTGACTGGGATAGATAATTTTTAAATCGTACATTGGATCAATGCGTTGAATATTTTTGTTAAGTTTCGACAAATTAGAGAACAATATGTTCCAAATAAGGTTGTTACTTCGACTACTTTTCCTGTTTGGTATACATCATCTCTAAAGAAAGCTATAAAAGAAAAATATAAGTATCACCGTAGGTATAAAATATATGGCAACAAGTGTGATTTGTTGTCTTTTGAGCATCAGAGGGCTCGGGTGAAGTTACTGGAAAAGCAATGCTTTTTGAACTACACAAACTCCATTGAAAATAATATTGCAAAACATCCCAAACAGTTCTGGTCATTTATTTAATCTCGGTCCAGCTCTCACGGTATTCCTAGTAGTCTGCGATATGGTAGCACTAGTGTTAATAGTGGCAGTGATGTTTGTAATGCCTTTTCGGACTATTTTAAAACAACCTTTTTGGCTACTACACCATCCATTGGTTCTGGTTTGGTAATGGCTGATGATTGTAATACAATTTCTGATATTGCAAGCATAAGTATGAATTCTGATATGCTTACTGACTTATTACGCAAACTCGATCCAAGTAAATCTGCAGGTCCGGATCACTTACCAGTTACTATTTTTAATTAACTGTGCTAACAGCGTTACTAAGCCAGTTAAATTACTGTTTCAACGTTCTTTTGCAGAATGTTAATGTGTACCAGCACTTTGGAAATCCGCGGTTACTACCCCTGTCCTAAAGAAAGGTTCCAAAACAGATGTAACTAACTATAGACCCATCTCTAAATTGTGTATTTTGTCTAAGGTGATAGAAAAAATTGTTTATACCCAAGTTTATTCGGCTTTGAAAAACTCATTTAGTCATACTCAACATGACTTCCTTCGAAAAAGGTCTACAGTATCAAAGCTAGTATTGTTAAATTAATACATCTCACCGTCTATGATCAAAGGATACCAAGTAGATGCCATCTATACGGATTACAGTAAAGCATTTGATAGAATTGATAATGTTATCCTTTTGACTAAACTTTTCGAAATTAGTATCAGGGGTGATCTTTTGCGGTGATTCTCTTCGTATATTAATAATAGATCTCAAGCGGTAGTCGTTAATAATTATATATCCAGTTGGGTTACTATGCCTAGCGGTGTACCACGAGGTTCATTATTAGGGCCGCTGCTTTTTAATACTTTTATTAACGATATTGGTAATTGCTTTCGCGTCTCTAATCTGCTGAGCTCCGCAGGTGATATGAAAATATTTGCCAAGATTTCTTTAGTTGTTGACGCTACTGCTCTCCAATCCGATTTATCTCGTCTTGACGACTACTGTGTCGGTAATAAGCTAGACCTTAACCCCTCTAAATGTTTCTACTACTATCCTGGATCCAACTTTTACCTCTCAATGCCTTTCGCCTTTCGATGGTTAGTTAGAAAAAATCCAGTCATGGAATAAGTTTGCCTTTATGTACTAACAATTGTTGTTAACAAATTATAATTTGTTTTGTGATACAATAAAGTGTTTACATACACATATGTGAAATGAAGCTTAACAACTAAACAACAAAGTTTCAGAGTCCCCACACGGCATTTGCCGGGATTATGCAATCGGGTAAAACAACCCCACACTGAC